TTTAGCATTGGATCCAGTTCTCCCCACACCATTTATTGAAGAAATAATCATCTCCCCATTGTGGAGAGATGATAATTTGGCATTTTTTTTCTAAGGCAGGGTCTCACTTGCTCTGCCACCCAGGCTGGAGTGCAATGACATGATCATAGCTCACTGTAACCCCAAGCTCCTGGGCTCAAGCAATCTCCTGCCTCAGCCTCTGGAGTAGCTGGGACTACAGGCATGTGCCACCATGCTCAGCTCGTTTGTTTGTTTGCTTGTTTTTGAGATGAAGTCTCGCTCTGTCGCCCAGGCTGGAGTGCAGCGGCGCAACCTGGCTCACTGCAACTTCTGCTTCCTGGGTTCAAATGATTCTCCTGCCTCAGCCTCCCAAGTACCTGCTGGGACTATGGGCGTGTGCCACCATGCCTGGCTAAATTTTTTTGTATTTTTCATAGAGATGGGGTTTCACCATGTTGGTCAGGTTGGTCTCAAACTCCTCACCACAAATGATCCACCCACCTTGGCCTCCCAAAGTACTGGGATTACAAGCATGAGCCACTGCGCCCGGCTGTCAACTAATTTAAAAAACTTTTTTGTAGAGATAGGATGTTGCTATATTGTCTAGGCTGCTCCTGAACTCCTGGACTCAAATGATCCTCCCACCTCAGCCTCCTAAAGTACCAAAATTACAGATGTGAGCTACCACGTCTGGCCTCTTGGCACTTTTGTTGAAGGTCAATTGATGGAGCCCTCCAACCTGAAATATCCCACCTGCCACTCCCTGAAAGCCTGCAGTTGACTCCCCTGACTGAAGGGGTCCTGCTTCAAGCTCTGGCGGTGCCGCCAGGCTTCCCCTGGCCCATGCTTAAACAACGGCAGGAATCTCCCCAGCTAGCGTGCAAGGTCCCAGAAGGCCGGGGCAGGGTCCCGATATCTCCTCAGGGCACCCCACGAATACTAGCTGCATGAACCTGTGGGTGCCTGGAGAAGGAAGTCTTAAAAAAGGAATCATGGTCTCAGCTATGATGGCCTTGGCCCCTGTGGCAGGTGCTGTGCCACTGAGGTGCCGCTCAGGGCCAAGGCCCACACTGGTCCAGCTGCCAGGAGCAGTGTTCCCTATAGGCTTATAGCCAGGTTCCCTTCTGGGGAGACTTAGCCAAAGGGGCCTACTGTGCCCCCAGCTCCCTACCGGTATGCCCCATTCAAGGACTGATGGAGTTGGGGGTGCAAACCCAGTTTCCCAGAGATCTCTACCTAAAAGAGTTGCTCTCAGAAGTGGTCTGAGGAAATGGTCCCTAAATTGAGATTTCGGAGCTGAATCAGCACTGACCAGCTGAACTGAAGCCTCCAGGGTGGGCGTGAGGGACCAGTGTCTCAAGAACAAAGAAACAAACAAATCTAGAATCCCCAGATTCTCCTGAATCATCTGGGCCTGCAGAGGTGGCCCACTGCTCCTGTTAGAGGTTAGCACCCCCTTTCTTGAAGTATTTTATATAGAGAGAGTGTGTGTGTTATAGTTAGGGGGCAGGGGCAGAGAGAGAGAGAGAGAGAGAGAGCGAGAGAGAGCGCTCTGCCTTGCAAGGCAACACATGCTGTTTTCAGGGTCTATGCCAATATCCTCCTTCTGACACCAGACCAATCACTTCAAATGACAACATCACCTAGTTACGACACGCTGGCCTGCTAAGGCAGGAAGGAACTGCAGGATCTGCTCAGCACAGACCAGCAAGATCCAGGAGGGCACCTCCAGGACTCCATCCCAAGCGTGCTGGACCCACAGATGACAGATAAGAGAGAGTTGATGAATGTGGGAGGAGTTTCCATGATACAAGCTTGTGACCCTGGCTAGGCCCTGGGGAGACAGCCCCAACGTGCTGTTAGAATGGCTCGTGGATGCCTGCAGAGAGCCACGGCCTTCGCCGAGTGAAGAACTGCCAGCGTGACCGTGGAAGGTGGGGGGAAATGAGCTTCCTAGAGTACATACGTGATGTCAGGCAAACCTACCAGCTGACTGTGTCCCGTGGGAGGGCGCAGAGGCCATCTCATTTACCAAAGCAATGATATTCAGCATGCAGTATTGGTTTTTATGGCGAAGAGCAGTGGCCAGGTCAGAGTGGTAGCCAGGAGGACCTGACATGCAGAGTTATGAAGCTGGATAATAGAACATAATGTTCCTAGGGGCCGGGGGAGGGGCATTCAGAAGGGCATGGCTGAACTTACACCACAAAGGAAATCAAACCTGGATGAGCAGGAGGCTGAGAGTGGCTGCCCCAATGCCATGCTGCCACCCCTTGCCTGCCTGTACCCCAGGCCTGGTTTCAGACCTGGAACTCATGGAAAGGCCCGGTTCCCACATCACTGCCAGTGCCTACAGTCAAAATCTCCCCTCACAGCCCTTCCCCTGAGAAAGCTGAGGTCACTCATTCAAGTGCACAGGGAGGGAATGTGCAGACGTTTCAGGGATGATTGCCCACAGAATCCTGGGACACGGTGCATTGTCTTGCCTCCCGTTAAAGGGAGGGCAGATGGGGTCAGGTGACAAACAGAGTCCCAGCCCAGCTTTGGATTTTGGTAGGTCCACCAGGTCCACTGAGCCACCTGGTGCTCATTTCCCAAGCACTGAAATGCATGATAAAAATGGACATACTTGGCACACGGGATAACCCCTGTGTTGGCCAGATATTTGGGACTGTGGAATAAGAGCTATAGATGTGGGAAAGCTGAGTGGGAGTCCCTGATACTGCCCGAGCCAAGGCAGTGAATAAAACCAGGACTGCATGCTGAAGAGAATTACAGCAACTATAAGGGAAGAATATGTTCTTCTGCCAAAACCTGAAGGATGCAGTTATACTTTCTCCACATTATAGAGTCATTCAGTTAGTGAAACCCCTACAAAAACGAAAGGGATCCCGGAGACTGACAGTGGAATACTGCAAACCCAAGCAAATAGTAGCCCCAGTAATGACGTCTTTGCTAGAGCAGGTCAACGCAGTCTCCAGTCCATGGGAGGAAGCCAATGCATTCGTTTCCATCACTACTAAAGAGCCGAACCAGAAGCCATTTCCATCCATTTAGGATTGACTGGAGTACACACTAGTGGGGCACAGAGGCTCACACCTACAATCCCAGAACTGTGGATTTGAGGTGGACAGATCGCTTGGTCACTTGAGGACATGAGTTTGATACCAGCCTGGCCAACATGGTGAAACCCCAACTCTACTAAAAATATGAAAATTAGCTGGGCATGGTGGCATGAGCCTGTGGTCCCAGCTACTCGGGAGGCTGAGGCAGGAGGATCACCTGAACCCGAGAGGTGAAGGTTGCAGGGAGCCAAGATCACGCCACTGCACTCCAGCCTGGCAACAAAGTGAGACTCCAAATCAAAAAAAAAAAAAAAAAAAAAGGGAAGGACCACCATGACGGGCCACCCCTGTGGGTTCTGGAGGCAGCACCTGCCACACTTGGGAATATTGCGTGTTCACAGGGACCAGCGGCGTGAAACGCTGCCAGCTCTGAGTGAGGCCCAGTGCAGGGAAGAACTCTGCAGCAGGCACAGGCTGCGGTGCTAGCAGCCCAGCAAATTAGGCCGCATGATCTGGAAGATTCTATGGCTCTAGAGGTACCTATGGTGGAAAAGATGCCATGTTGCTTGAAACCCCTAAGTTTGTGATAACCTCATGGCAAGCCCAGTAGGAGAATCACAACCTGGATGCTGGGGGTTCTGGAGCAAGGCCAGGCTATCTGCAGCAAAGGAAGGCAGTTGCTGGTGTGCCTCTGCACCCTAGCAGAGCGGGAGACACCAAGCGGTGACCACGCCACTACAGCTGCCCGCCTTGAGCCGGGCTCTGCCAGGGCCTCCGGGGCAAAGGTCAGGCATGCTCAACAGACATCTGCGGTAAGATGAAAGGGCACATCCAGGACGGGGCCTGCGCAAGGAGCCACTGGTAAACTGCACCAGACCCTCCTAGCATCTGCCTCTGTTGCACTGCTGGGGTCCCTCACCTCCATTACTGCTGTGTTGGGTGGTGTGATGTCACCTATGACCACCTAATGTAGGAAGAAATAGGCCGAGCTTGCTTCACGCATGGGGCGGCTCCGTATGGAGGGCAAAAAATGCCTAAAAATAGATAGCCACTGCATTGCAGCCCCATCAGGGGTCTCCCAGATGGCCGCTGCATTGCGGCCCCATCAGGGGTCTCCCAGATGGCCGCTGCACCGCGGCCCCACTCGGGGGTCGACCAGATGGCCGCTGCACCGCGGCCCCACTCGGGGGTCTCCCTGAAAGGCAGTGCGGAGAGACGGCCTCTCCCAGTCTCCCCATGGGCAGAAACATGCTGTGTTAGTTCACAGTTGCTGCTGTAACCAATCTCCAAAATCTTGGGAGTTAAAAACAACACAAATGGAATATCGTACAGTCCTGGAGGTCGGCTCTGGAACTGGGTCTTACTGGGCTGAGGTCCAGGTGTTGTCAGGGCTGCATTCCTTCTGGAGGCTCTCGGGGTGGGAGAGAATCCATTTCCTTTCCTTTTTCAGCCTCTGGAAGCTACCTGCATTCCCTGCTCATGCAGCCTTTCCAGAAACCACATCATTTTAACACCTGCTTCTGTGGCCACGCCTCCTTCAGACTTTGGCCCTCTTGGCTCCCTCTTTCGCTTTTTTTTTAAGAGAGAGAATCTTGCTCTGTCACCCAGGCTGGAGTGCAATGGCCCAATCGCAGCTCACTGCAACCTCCACCTCCCAGGTTCAAGCGATTCTCCTATCTTAGCCTCCAGAGCAGTTTGGATTACAGCACCTGCCACCACGCCTGGCTAGTTTTTTTTGTATTTTTGGCAGAGACAGGGTTTCGCTGTGTTGGTCAGGCTCGTCTCAAACTCCCAACCTCAGGTGATCCACCCGCCTGGGTCTCCCAAAGTTCTGGGATTACAGGTGTGAGCTACCACACCCGGCCTCCATCTTTCACTTACAAGGACATTTATGATTACATTGGGCCACCCAGATAATCCAGGATAATCCTCCCATCTCAAGATCTTCAATTTAATGACATCTGCAAAGTCCCTTTTGCCATGTACCAAAACAGATGTACAGGTTCCAGACATGGGCATGTTTGGAGCCACTGTTTGCCCACCACACTTAGAAAGTGTACCCATTTTGTGTAGAAAGAGAAGTGGCTTGGCATAAGAATATGTTCAGACCCGTGGACAGCAGCAAAAGACTTGGCTGTTGCTGCTCTGGGCCTGGAGAATTCAAAGGTTGGGGACAAGGAGTCTAGTGGAAGGGTCATGCATGCAGCTGGAACCATGGGCACAGGCATGCGTGTGAAGGTCCCATGCTAACACCCACCAGAGAGCACCACCACGAGAAGACACCCAGCAGCCGTGTAGGAAGATGGTTTGACCATTCGGAGCCAGCCTGCTCGGTCATTGGCCATTCAGTGAGTAGCAATGGTGGCAAGGAGGCAGGATGGGGTGGGCTCAGCGGCACGGCCTGCAGCTCAGCAAGGCTGATCCAGTTCCAACACTGCGTAGTATCCAGCCAGACAGCAGCAGACACCGAAGCTGAGCTCCCAGTACAGCGTCACCTGGAGACTCAACTGGCCACTCCGTGGAAGGTTGACCACTGGACTTGAAGTCAGTTATATCGCCCTAAAGGTGAGGCAGTGATTCATTTTGACTGACCCAAGACATACTCCAAGTGTGGATTTATCCTTCCTGCTCTTATGAACACTATCAGGAGGTTTGTAGAATGTTTGATCAATGGATATTGAATACCACATAACATTGCTTTGGACCAAAAAAACTCACTTTACAGCAAAGGAGCCATGGTGTTGGGCACATGACCATGGGTCCCCTGGGCCCATTCCTCACCATGCCATGCAGATGCTGCCAATATGGGTGAGTGATGGAGTGGTCCTCTTGTGGGCTCTACTGAGGTACCTAGCAGCTGGGAGAAAATGCCCTTTTAAGAGGGAATTCCATCCTTCGAAACGCAGAATATACCCTAAGTCAGCGACCATCAGAAGTTGCTGTGTCCAGCTGAGAAAATGCGTGGGTCTGGGGACCCAGGAGCAGAAGCAGGAACAGCCCCCTAACCATGACCTCCGGGGATCCAATTAGAGAATCAGAACTTCTTGTCCCCTCCATGTTGGGCTTTGCAGGTCTAGAGGCCTGTTCCCCAGAGGGGGAACACTGCCACCACGGGACACGATACAGGATCCAGTGGACAAGAAGCTATGGCTGTCACTGGTCACTTCAGGCTCTGTGCCAAAAGACCAGCAGGCAAAGAAAGGAGTCTGTGTCCCAGCAGGGGTGACTAGCTCTGATCCTCAGTAGTAGGAGGGGCTGCTGGAACGGGGATGGAGGAGAATCACCCTGGCACACAGGTGGCTTCTCAGGCATCACTTGGTACGCTTCTGCCAGGTTTTGGTGGGAAATGGACAAACACAGCAGTTGCAGCCTTAAGAGGGTAAAGCGGCTGGGATGAGGGGCTGCGTCCTCCTGCCAGGGGGGTGGCCACGCCCAGCAGAGGTGCCAGCAGAGGGAGTGGGGAATCTGGACTGAGGGATGACAAAAATCAGCTGTGGTCATCCCCCCCAACCTTCCTCCTACCTAACCCAGCAAAGAGACAAACCACAGTCAGTCCTGGGAAGGGATGCTTCAGATGGGGTCCTGGAAATTTTCCAGGAAGAAAGGAGGGGGCAGCTCACCGGAGAGCCTTGGCCAAGCTTCCTTCCCACCTGCTGAGACTTCTCCACTTCTCTCACACGTAAAGCCGGCTCAACTGGTCTCCTATACAAACCCAACAAAGGCCCGGCAGCTGCAAAAAGGTTGTTACTGAAAATGGGTCAGTCTTTTGATGCCAGTGAAAGATGCTGGTCCCTGCTGGTAGCGCGCGCGCGCGCGCACACACACGCACACCACACATACACACCCGCGCGCGCGCACACACGCACGCACGCGCACACACACACACACACACACCCCACACTGGGCCATGCAGCTGTTGTTGGTACAGAACTGTCAGGGCTAGACATGGCTTTTCTGGGCATCACAGGCCTCGGCCTCCCCTCCAGTGCCCTGGAGGGGCAGTTCCCGGTAGGAGAAGCCCCGCCCACAGGTCTGCTTGAGCCCTCTGGGGACCCCAAAGGCAGCAAAGGCCTCAGGCGGCACTCTATGGCCGACGTAAGATGTCCTAAAGGAAAGTTGATCTCTGGAGTTACATAAATAAGGCCTGAAATCTTTCTATCCCGAACGTTAGGGAGAGGGAGGAGAAGTGGGGAGAAAAGAGTAAAGACAACCAGAACAAGCCTTGGATAGGATCCGGCGAAGCGCGTCCTCGGGAGGAGCGGGAAATGATTCTTTTTTCTTTTCTTTTTTTTTGAGACAGAGTTTCGCTCGTTACCCAGGCTGGAGGGCAATGGCGCGATCTCGGCTCACCGCAACCTCCGCCTCCTGGGTTCAAGCAATCCTCCTGCCTCAGCCTCCAGAGTAGCTGGGATTACAGGCACGCACCACCATGCCCAGCTAATTTTTTGTATTTTTTTTTTAGTAGAGACGGGGTTTCACCATGTTGACCAGGATGGTCTCGATCTCTTGACCGCATGATCCACCCGCCTCGGCCTCCCAAAGTGCTGGGATTACAGGCGTGAGCCACCATGCCTGGCCCCCCTCTCTCATTCTTGAGAGGGCAGCAGACCAAGAACCTGGAAGAAACGCCCTCTCAGGGGAGCTGAGGGCACCCTGAACCCCAATATGACAGGAGCAGGAAGAGCCCAAACTGCCTGAGCAAGCGCTTGACACACAGGGCGCAGTGGCCTGTCTGGGGGCGACGTCCAGAGTCCTGAGCCCCAAGGGTTCGGAGAAGAGCCTCACTGCAGTGTCCCCACGTCACAGATGCATGGCCTTTAAGCAGACGCTCCTAGAAAGAGGTGGTTGTTGTTGAGAGAGCTCAGGAATCTGCATGAGCAAAGCAGGAAGACCACGTGGAGAGCCGAGAAAAACACTGTTCTCCTTCCACCCCGACAGAAACAGACGCTCCTGCATTTCCCTTCGGGCCTTCCATCGGCACATTCTTTTCTAGGAAAGGCACGTTTCGCCTTGTCTTTCGGCAATATTGCCGCCTCTGCCTTCTTTGGCTTCACGGCTATGCCCATGCCCATTATTTTATGTTTTACCTTTTCTGAAGCATTTTCGTGCTGCTTGCACTGCAAAGCCCTCCAATATTGAATATCGATCCCATCTGAGCGCTCACGGCTCCTGTTTTAGCTATTTCTTGCCCTCACAGCGATGTCTGGTCTGTATCCGCTGAGTTGCTTTCTGTGGTTTATTTGTTTTGGTCATCTGGATTTTGCTCTATAGATACCTTTATTTGTTTATAATCTCTGCAGAGGCTTGATGATTAACGTAAGCTTGGCAAACCTCCAGGAACAGTTGTTCAAAATAGCATGAAACTCGTATTGAATGGCTGAAGACAAAGACTGGGAATGAACAGAAGTCAAATAAAAATAACTTCACAATACAGGAAATTCAACGCTTTTGCTTTTCGCTGCTCAGTTTCGCCATCTCTATTAACAAAGCTGATGCAAGACTTCCTGTTCCAAGTAAGTTTCTTATTTTATATTTAACACTCTATAGCATTTAAAACCATATTTATGTTTTCCAATTATAAAATGCTTAATATAGCCCAGGCGCGGTGGCTCACGCCTGTGATCCCAGTACTTTGGGAGGCTGAGACAGGCGGATCACGTGGTCAGGAGCTCGAGACCATCCTGGCTAACACAGTGAAACCCTATCTCTACTAAAAATACAAAAAATTAGCCGGTCGTGATGGCAGGTGCCTGCAGTCCCAGCTACTTGGGAGGCTGCGGCAGAATTGCCTGGGAGGTGGAGGTTGCACTGAGCTCAGATTGCACCACTGCACTCCAGCCTGGGCAACAGAGCGAGACTCCATCTCAAAAATAATAGTAATAATAACAATGCTTATTGTCAGATATGAATATTACACAGAATTTATTTTTATTTTTATTTTTTTTAATTTTTTATTGGATTTTAGGTTTTGGGGTACATGAGCAGAGCATGCAAGACAGTTGCGTAGGAACACACATGGCAGTGTGCTTTTCTTTCCTTCTCCCCTTCACCCACATTTGGCATTTCTCCCCAGGCTATCCCTCCCCACCTCCCCCTCCCACTGGCCCTCCCCTTTTCCCCCCAATAGACCCCTGTGTTTAGTACTCCCCTCAGAATTTATAATTTATATAAATTTATATGTTTGTAAATGCTTATGATAGAATGTATGAAAGATACTGAAAAACATAAAGAGGAAAACGAATGTCACCCATATTCTAGAAAGCACTGTAAAGGTTTGGGCATTCCTTCAGGTTTCCTTCCAGGTAATACAGTGACGTGAACACACACCCCTAAAAACCTATCTGACAACTCATGCGCCTCCTCTATAAGGTAAGTTCATATTTTTAAGAACAAATTGCCGGCCGGGCGTGGTGGCTCACACCTGTGATCCCAGCACTTTGCCAGGCCAAGGCGGGTCAGGAGACTGAGACCATCCTGGCTGACACAGTGAAATGCCATCTCTACTAAAAACACAAAAAAATTAGCTGGGTGTGGTGGTGGGTTCCTATAGTCCCAGCTACTCAGGAGGCTGGGGCAAGAGAATCACTTGAACCCGGGGAGGCAGAGGCCGCAGTGAGCTGAGACTCCTGCCTGGGCGACAGAGCAAGACTCCATCTCATAATAAATAAATAAATAGACAAATTGCAAATCCTGGTTTCTTCGGCCAACATGCGGCATGAAAATCACTGCAGTCTCAGGCCCAGGAAGTCCATGGCTGACAACGCTCAGCTTCCCCAGGAAACCCTTCCGAGACTTCCCGGGACCTCCTTTTAGCTTGTGACCCCAAGACCTGGAATAAGTTGGGGACTAAAATGCTGAGGTCAGCTGGGACTTCTGGCTCTCTTCACTAAGACAGAACCTGCATCCTCCACTGGAACCCCAGGGATTTATGTCAGTCATTATGTGGGAGAGCCACTCGCCCCACCTGGGCCCCCACTCCGCAGACAACAGCCTCCTTTGTCTTGATGGTAGATGTTAAGGCCAGGAAGAGGAGGAGTGGCTTAACACAGAAAGGCCAGTCCCTACCGCAAACAATGTCTCAATAGCAATGATTACAAACCCAAAAGTCTCATTTTTGTGGCTGGCCTCCAGCATGAACTGACTTACAGCAAACTCCTCATATGAGAAGCCTTCGGTCTTAATAACCTTGAGGAATATCTTACAATGAACACTTTATTGAGATTATTTGGTAAGAACAGCCACTTTTGAAACCTTCTAACAAAGAGTTTAGAAAAATAGTCTTCCGGATGCTCTTTGTTAGAAGGAGTTTGACCTGGGAGGCAGGTGGGAGTTGCAGTGATCCAAGATCGTACCACTGCACTCCAGCCTGGGGTGGTGGCATGCACCTGTAATCCCAGCTACTTAGGAGGCTGAGGCAGGAGAATCACTTGAACCCAGAAGGTGGAGGTTGCAGTGAGTGGAGATCCATTTCTCCGCATAACTGGGCAGATCCGAACTCTGTTTCTAAGGAATTGCTTAGGTTGGCCACGTTGGCCCTGCTGACCCAGGGTAAGCAGGCTGGGCTTCTTCTCTCATGTGGCCTTAGATGGTGTCGCCACTTTCATAGGGTATCATTGGTGGTAGCTTGAAATTGGCCACATGGGAGTATCTACATCACAGAAATAGGTAAATGCTACCTATTTTTCTTTCTTTCTTTTTTTTTTTCCCAAAGAGCCAATAGTTAAACATTAACTAGCACACCACTGGCGTTGGCCCAACAGATGATTGGAATCTGTTCCTGGTGTCCTTGCCAAAGCACTGAGTTCTAAGTCACAGATGACTGCCCTGTGCCCATGACTCCTTCTCCAGCCACCGATCTAGCGAGATGCTCCTCCCCCACCACACTTGGAAGAACCAGTGTCACCTGTGTTCCTTCAGATCCCGCTGGCACATGTTAGCTCTGCAATTCCTTTGGAGAACAGGACAGTTCTGACCAGAGCTGAGTTTACACCTCTCTGCTCTAGCAGTGGTGAAGCCTGACCCTGGATGTAGGCCTGGCATCAAGGAGCAGTGGTGAGGGCAGATCTTGAGAACAAACACCTTGCAGGACACCTGCCACAGGTGATGTATTCATAAGAACAACCTGTTCTCTGGCAAGAAGGAAATGATTGCTTCTGCTGGCTTAGAGGCTTCTGAGAACTTGGGGGTTTGAGATTCTCAGCTTATCTACTCAATTGTCCATAGCCATGTGTCAGGACCATCCGCTAGCTGGCTCCTGACTGATGTAGCAGGCCTGTCAAGGCTGTGACTTTAGTCTCCTTTGTAGATTTCAACCCTCATCAGATTCGAGGTCTTATTTTCTTTCCTTTTTTTTTTTTTTTTTTTTTTTTTGAAACAGAGTCTTGCTCTATCACCCAGGCTGGAGTGCAGTGGCATGATCTCAGCTCACTGCAATCTCTGCCTCCTCAGTTCAAGCAAGTATCCTGTCTCAGCCTCCTGAGTAGCTGGAATTACAGGCACTCAGCTAGTTTTTGTATTTTTAGTAGAGACAAAGATTTTACCACGTTAGCCAGGCTGGCCTCAAAATCCTGACCTCAAGTGATCTGCCTCAGCAGCCTCCCAAAGTGCTGGGATTACAGACATGAGCCCTGTGCCAGGTCTCAAGGTCTGAGGTCTGATTTTCTTTTTTTTTTTTTTTTTTGATATGTAGTCTCTCTCTGTCACCCAGGCTGGAATGCAGTGGCATGATCTCCACTCACTGCAACCTCCACCTTCTGGGTTCAAGTGATTCTCCTGCCTCAGCCTCCTAAGTAGCTGGGATTACAGGCGCATGCCACCACCCCAGGCTGGAGTGCAGTGGTACGATCTTGGATCACTGCAACTCCCACCTGCCTCCCAGGTCAAAGTGATTCTCTTACTTCGGCCTCCTAAGTAGCTGGGATTACAGGCGAACGCCACCACCCCCGGGTAATTTTTTTTTTTTTTTAAGCTGCTACCTAAATTACCTCAATATCCACTAAAACCAGATGTTTTGTATTTTTAGTAGAGATGAGGTTTTACCATGTTAGCCAGGCTGGTCTCAAACTCCTGACCTCAGGTGATCCATCCGCCTTGGCCTCCCAAAGTGCTGGAATTACAGGCATGAGCCACTGGGCCCAGCCAATTTTCAACAATGATTTCTCCTACCCAGTGGCTGTAGGAGACGTAAATCTCCTGAGCTGCCAAAAAGGCCCTTGGGCTTTCAAAGTTTGTCTTAGGGTGGCAATGAACTGTCCCAAGCCCAGCATTCCTTTTTCCCGGGTGTTCAGCTCCAACGTAAGAAGGCATCACCCTTCTGCAAAATCATTGTCGTCGTCATTGCCTCCCACTTAGGAAGCACCACCCAACGCCTTGCTCTCCGGCTGCACCCATCGTAACTGACCACAGGTGAAAACTGGTAATCCCAGCGCCGCTGTGTGACGGGCGATCACCAGTCAGCAAGCTTTTCCTGTAAAAGCACAGGCAGTGAGTAATTCCAGCTTCGTGGGCCGTGTGAGATCCCCGCAGCACGTTCTCTGCCTTTTCCCCTCCCTCTCCCTTTAGCCTGCAAGCCATGCAAGGACAGGCCATAGATTGCTGAGCCCTGGTCATTACGATCTCATTACCAGAGGCGTGGAGACCCCAGGACTCTGAGACAGGAGGGAAGATCAATTCCAAAGGGAGGCCTTGAGCGAGGGTCTGCTTTGTCAAACCATTTTCAGCTTCCAGTGTCTTAGTTTACGTTCCCCAGAAAGCAGAGCCAGGGAATAGACTTAAGAACAGAAGCTTCATTGGTAGGTACAATTCCAGGTCAGGGAGCGTGGAGAAAAAAGGAAGAAAAGGCAAGGTGAGGGATCCCCAGGCTGGCCCCTGCTTCCCGATGAGGCCGTGAACCACACGAGGCAAGCCAGACACTCGGCATGTTCCATGCAGCCCGCGAATGTCAGTACGCTGACCCGGTGGAAAACCATGCCTTGGCTTTTGGCCCAACAGAGGGCAAAGGGTAAGGGAATTATCACTGGCTCTCTCCTGCCTCCTGCCTCCCACTGAAAGGTTTTGGGAAGAGCCCTGGCAGCACCGATGACAGTGACCTTTCTTGGGCCAGCAGTGACAGCTGCCCAGGCTCCTGTGTCCAGCAAGCCCCGGACTAACGGGGCCCCCTTCCAGCATATGTGTCCAGAGCACACAGTCTGCCAGCCCCCCGCAGGGAGCTTGGGGAACAGGGTCCCATTCC